AATTACTACAGACCTTGTAGAAATACAGAAGATCATCAACACCTATTTCAAAAACCTCTACTCTCAAAGATGTGATAACACAGAGGAAATAGACAGGTTCTTAGAAGCATACGAAGTACCAAAGCTAGGTCATGAAGATGTAAAACTACTGAATAACAAAATTTCTATTAATGAAATTGAAAACGTAATTAAATCTTTACCTACAAAAAAGAGCCCAGACCCAGATGAATTCACTGCAGAATTCTACAAGAAATACAAAGATGACCTAATGCCAACACTCCTCAAAATGTTCAATGAAATTGAAAGAGAAGCAATCCTTCCTAAATTGTTCCTAGAAGCAAATATTACTCTATTACCAAAACCCAAGAAGGACCCAACTGAAAAAGAGAACTACAGACCAATCTCCCTAATGAACACAGATGCAAAAATCCTCAATAAAATATTGGCAAATAGGATGCAGCAAATCATCAAGAAGATCATACACCATGACCAAGTGGGATTCATCCCAGGCATGCAAGGATGGTTCAACATACATAAATCAAGAAATGCAATCCACCATATAAATAAAGCCAAAAATAAGAATCACATGATCATTTCTATAAGATACAGAAAAATCCTTTGATAAGGTCCAACATTCATTCATGATAAGAACCTTACAGAAAATTGGTATAGATGGCCTTTACATTAATATCATTAAGGCCATCTATGACAAACCTACAGCCAGTGTCATACTAAATGGCCAAGAATTGAAGGCCTTTACTTTAAAATCAGGCACAAGACAAGGATGTCCCTTATCACCACTCCTATTTAATATAGTACTGGAAATACTGACTGGAGCAATTAGACAAGAGAGAGAAATAAAAGGCATAAAGATAGGAAAAGAAGAAGTTAAAGTATCATTATTTGCAGATGACATGATACTCTATATAGAAGATCCCCAAAACTCTACTGAAAGACTGCTAGATATAATCAATAAATTCAGTAATGTACCTGGATACAGAATCAATACTCAAAAATCAATAGCATTCCTATACACTAACAACAAAGTCACAGAGAGAGAAATAAGAGAGGCAACACCCTTCACACTAGCAACCAAAAAAATGAAATATTTGGGAATTACTCTCACGAAAGAAGTGAAAGACCTATACAGGGAAAATTATAATACAATAAAAAATGAAATTGAAGATGATCTTAGAAAATGGAAAGACATCCCTTGCTCATGGATAGGAAGAATAAATATTGTGAAAATGGCCAATCTCCCAAAACTTTTATACAGATTCAATGCAATTCCGATAAAAATACCATCAACATACCTTATAAATCTAGAGAAATCACTTCTAAAATTCATCTGGAGCGAGAAGAGACCTAGAATAGCAAGGACAGTTCTAAGCAGCAAAGGTAAGGCAGGAAGTATCACAATCCCTGACTTGAAGTTATGCTCCAAGGCAAGTGTAGTAAAATCAACATGGTACTAGAACCAAAACAGAGCCGAAGATAAATGGAATAGATTAGAAGATACAACCACAACTACAAACACAGTCAACCACCTTATCTTTGATAAAGGGGCCAAACACGTTCACTGGAAGAACGACAGTCTCTTTAATAAATGGTATTGGAAAAACTGGCTCTCTATATGCCGTAAACTAAAACTAGACCCATGCCTATCACCATGTATTAAAATAAAACCTAAATTAAATTAAATTACCCTCAGCATAAGAATGCCTACTAGAAAGGAAGTAGACAGATCTGACAGAATATATAGTCATCAGAGGTTTGAGATGTAATACTTTAGATGGTTGAGAAATGTCTATAGGAGAATTAAAATAAGACAGAAAGGACATATTAACCAATTTCCCAGGGAAAAACATTCAGCCTAAAGAGTCCAGAAGTAATCCCTATTGAGGAAAAACAAGAGCCAGGAAAATTTTCTACCCTAGAGCCAATCATTCATATGAAAACAAGAAAGACTTCCAGTCCTCCAAGTACTGCTGTAGCTTGAAAATCCTCACCATAATTTATGTTGAAATTTAATTTCTATTGTAAGTACTAGAAGGATAGGGACTTAATTCAAGTATGATATTTAGAGGTGAGACCCTTGGAAGGTAATAAAATGAGATTATAATGGTAGGCCTTAATCCAGTGAGACTGTGGTTTCTTCTGAAGAGGAGGAAAGAATTGAATTAAGATGCTTTGTCTAACATTTGATACCCTAGTCTGCTTTTGAGGTTCTATACGAAGTCACCACTAGCAAGAAGGACCTCACCAGACATAACTGCCCAATCTTGAATTTCCCATGCTTCAATACCATTAGGAAATAATTTATTATTTATTAATTACTCATTGATCATATTCAGTTATAGCATCAGAAGGTGTACTAAGATTAAAAGAAGCCCACATTCTTACCCAGATTAAAGGGCACACTCAGAATCATAAGAATCAAAATCCATCTTGAACTTCTTTCATTGAACTACCATCTAGAGCACTGGTTCAGGAGTTAGACTCACCAATGGATCCCTGATCAGTCATCTAGAATTGAAGATAAAGGCTTCAAAGATATTTTTTATTGATTTATCTAAATATTCCCCCAAAGACCTATGTGCTCATAGGTGGAGTTTTTGGGAAGTTCTTTGATCATTGTGACATAATACCTATCATCACATTAGTCCATTGATGAATTTATAGGTAAATGTGATGTTGGGTGGTGAAGCCTGGTTGGAGGAGGTGGATCACTGGCAGGCATGGCCTGGAATGATACATTTCCCTACCCTGATCTTCCTTCCACACTTTCTGCTTCCTGTCTGCTATGGGATAAGCAGCTACTCCACAACCATATTCCAGTACATGCCATGCTGCCTTAGAGCCAGTTGACTAGCCAAAATAAACTTCTCCTCTTTTGATTTGTAAGTTTTAGTATCATGTCTTACTGACAGGAAAGTGAATACAATAAATTTGTCCTTGGGACTCTGGATCAAAGGTCTAAGGGAGGTCCAAGGATGAAAATGATGCCATCTAAATCACTGGCACCATAACTACTAAAAAAGTTTCTGTAGTACTTTACATTAAAGGAGGACTCTATTCAATAGGCACTATCACAATAAGTATAGGAACCACTGCAATGGAGTCATGCCATGGAGAGAGAAACTTGGCCTAACTTCAACATGATAAATGGTGATTTATAGCCAAGGAGGTGAGTGGGATCAATTTAATTGGTAAGAAGGAACAACAGTGTGACTGAACCAATTAGTGTTTGCTTAAGTTAGGCCAGGGTGAACAGATAGTCTACTTTGGGAGCACAATAAATTTGGTCACATATTGGGGTGCGGGGTCAGAAGCAAGAGTAGGGAATATTCACTACACAGACTTAGTAGGTTGCTTGTTCTAAATGGATTCTGCAAGTACACTAAGGGAAGTCTAAGGTTAGGCCCAGTTGAAAGAGGGCTCAGAGAAGCTTGACTAAAGTTTGGCCAAAGAACAGTCCTATCACTTTCTTCTCCTGTTGGCATTTATCATCTAGTTTACACAGTTTACAAATGACACAAATGTTGCCAAGGAGAATAGGAGATGCCACTGAACGCATTGAATGAATTTCGAAGAAGGGTTTCAGCCCTTAGGAAAATTTTGAAAACTGACTCCTGGGCAGGAAGGATCATGAATGCTTCCAGAACTGAGAGACTAGAAAAGAAAGACATAGATAAAGTGGGAAGACTTCATGAGTAGAAAACTGCAGCTGGATGTGTGAGAAGACTGAAAAGCACATAGAACTGCTTTTTTGTTACCTCTTCTGTGGTTTGATGAGGTTTATTGTACCTTTTCTGTGGTTTATTGTAAGTACAAAGGGTAGTTGTTGAGATGTGACAAGATTTGATGGGTGTTTTAAGAAGATCACTGTGGTTGGAGGATGATAAGAAAACAAATGACACCCTACTTATAGAGCATTGGGAGCACTGGGAGCAGTTGCCAACACAGCTGGGCTACTACTTCAGACCAGAGCAGAGTTTAGCAAGTGGCTGCTGAGCAGCTCGACCCTTCCCACAGCCCTAGGCTGCCCACAATGGCAACCTACAGCACCTTGCATCAACCTATCAAGGGTGTCCTGAAAAATAAAGGTGTAACAACTTCCTCAATGGTGGCTTCTGCACAGCATTCCGGAGGAAGCACCCAAGTGATCTAGAGAAAAAAGTCTCAGAGGTGGGGTGAATCCAACATCCTCACAACCCACTGTTCATCATAAATGATTTGGTTAAGTCAAATGAACCAGAAGGAGAGAATGTTGGGGTCCACTTCAGTATGCCTGTAGTCAACAGATGTGATGATGACTTGAAAGAGAGAGGCTGAAGAATGGATAAAATCAAAATTTCTTGAAATATCTATGCCAGCACTAGAGGGCTGGATTGGAGGGTGAAGAGAGCTAGAACCAAATCCAGAGATTTGGCTGATGGGAGGAAGTGCTGTTGGAGCCATTTGAAAAGGGAGGAACTCAGTGGAAGTGTGTGTGTGTGTGTGTGCCCGCGCGCGCGCGTGTGCGGATGCGTGCATTTGTGTATGTGTGTATGTGTGTGTGTGAGGGGAGTACATGGACCCAGGTAAGGAATTAAAATAGTGGCTTTCAAATTTTAACAGCAAGAAATACATTTTAAGTAGTTCCCTGTAGGCCAATGGGGTGTGGAAAACTTCTAGAACAATGTGTCCCCTTTTAATATGCCAGAAATGGCTATTTCCCATCTTATTCCGTTAAAAACAAAGCAAAACAAATTTTAAGAAATAGTTTAGAGGGCAAAACGGTGATGGCGGACATGACAGCGGAAGTGACATGACAGCGGAAGTGACATGCAGCGGAAGTGTGGCTCACAGCGGCTTTTGTGACGCAGGGGCCCTACTGTTACTTATAGGGCATTCTGAGCGGTTGCCAACACAGTTGGGCTACTGCTTCAGTCCGGAGCTGAGCTTGGCGAGCAGCTGCTCGGCGGCTCGACCCTCCCCGCAGCCGTAGGCTGCCCACAATGGCAACCTACAGCACCTCTCACCGACCTATCAAGGGGATCCTGAAAAATAAAGGTTCAACACCCTCCTCAGTGGGGGCTTCTGCCCAGCATTCCGGAGGAAGCACCCAAGTGATCAAGAGAAAGAAGTCTCAGAGATGGGATGAATCCAACATCCTAGCGACCCACCGCGCATCATACAGAGACTATGATTTGGTGAAGTCAAATGAACCAGGCACTCCTTATGTCGGCATACAAGATACTGGGGAAGATACTGCGAGAGACGTCGAAGCCAAAGAAGTTATGACTCCGGATATGTTAGCTAAGAAATTAGCTGCCAGTGATACTTTCGGAACCAAGGGTTCAATGGAAGATGAAGAGTACGGCGGGGCGCATACCAGCCAGTTCCTTCTCAATAAACAAGAAAAGCAGCGGCAGTTTGAGATGAAGAGAAAACTTCACTACACTGAAGGGCTGAACATCAAGCTTGCTAGACAGTTGCTCTCTGAAGACCTAAAGGATGAAGTAGATGAAGATGGAAACCAAGAACGTCTAACTAAAGAAAACACCACTACTGAAGTTCCTGCAGGTGGAGAGGACATGAAGACCTAGTCTTGCAACACTTAGAAAATACTGCCGTTGCAATCTGTTGGTCAAATAAATACGTACCTTGTTACCAATCAATGATTGTTTCTTGTTGCTTAAAACTCATGTTTTAACTACCAAATTAGTTGTTGGTTAAATTGTACTGCAGAAATTAAATGGAAATCTTACAAAAGAATACATTTAGTGGAAAATGTCTTCTTGATGATTTGGTGCCTAATTCTTCACCATTAGTTTCAAATTGCATTGATTTTTTAAAATCTGATGCTTAATATACACATTCTATAACCTTTAATTTGTTACAGGTTTAAGGGAGATTGGTATATATTCTATATATAGTATTTTTTGTAGAAAATGTTTTGTTAACAAATTGGTACAGTATGTTATCTTAATAGATATTCAGACTAAAAAATACTTCTTTAGGATGATTTTTCTGTTTAACAGAGTATATAAAAAATTTCAAATTTTTCTCAGCCTAATATTTTTAGTTTTTCAATTTTTTTATCTTTTTAATTAAATAATTTTCTCTTATTTAAAAGGAAATAACAACTTGTTCTCACAGAAAAGCTTTTCCATTAACCACTAGTTTAAAATAGCAACACTGTATTCTGTTGTGCAAGAGGTGGGCAGATTTGTTGCCAAAGGACAGAAGTTAAGACAGAAAGGAAGGACTACTGAAATAACAATAAAACTTAAAAATTGACAGAATTTCTATAATTTTGTCCTTATAAGAATAAGGTCAGCAAGCAACCTGAGACATTCACTGGTACAAAGATAACCTTGATGCAATTAGCTTATTTGTTAATTACACTTCTAACAAGGGAACAGATTTACTTACCAAGCATCCCCATGTGTCAAGGGCAATTGCCTGTGGACAAGAGAGAAGGATGAGTGAAACATAGCTTCTGTGACTAATGAGGTCTGAGTATGAGGGAGAGGGGAATGTATGGTTCTAAATTGATGTTTGGGAAGGTCTCCTGGGAAAGAAGATGCATGTATTAAAAGAGGGCCAAGAGTTCTGATGGGGGTAACATACCTACTAGTATTTGAATGAAAATAGCTGTTTTTCACATGCTTGAAATGTGAGCACCAGTCTTGAGAAGGTGATGCTTATCCTCCAAGTTCTTTCTACCTGAAACCAAGAACAGAGAACCCAGACCCAGAAAACTTTGCTGCTCAGAAGAAGACATACGTCTCACACCTGTATCTTAGAGTTGGGGCAGGTGGGGGAGAATGCAAAAGACATAAAGGCAATGTCATAAATTGTTTACATGGAGGAGGTAAAATAAACAGACGACACTGGAAGGAATAACACATTAGGTATACATCAGGGGTGGGAGATCAAGATGGAGACTTATTTTCCACAAAGTGGTGGTCATTCTACTGTTCTTTCCACACAATACCACACTATAGTGATTAGGATAGAATGTGGGCAAGGCAGAAGACAGATAAATGCTCCAAAATCTAAATGTGAGGAGGAATAGAATTGTAAGAACCTTGATCAAATTAGCAGTAGTATTTTACAATTAGAAAATTCAGTCCACGCACAAAAAGGTACAACATTTACTAAACATAGAAGAAGCAGAAAAAAGTGAGCTCTCTAATAGTGCCCACAGTAGTTTGGGTTTAACTGCAGTGTTAGTTGATTCTCTGTCACTGTGACCTGACACCTGCAACTTAAAGGAAGAAGGGATTATTTTGGTTCATAGTTTCAAAATTTCAGTCCATATTCAGCTGGTTCCATTTCTTTTAGGTCCAAAGTGAGGTAGAAATATTATCATGGAAAGGTGAAGGAAAATTGCTCACTTCATGGCAGTGAGGTAGAAGAGGAAAAGGGAAAAATACAGAGAAGAAAGGGCCAAGGACAAAATACAGACCCCAAGGTCACGCCCTCTTCAACTACTCCCACCTCCCAAGTTTAAATGACCTCTCAATAATGCCATCATATTATGATCACATCAAAGGATTCATTCATTAAGTTAGTGTTCTCATGATTCAGTCACCTCCCAAAAGCACCTCCCGCCAAGAACATATAAAACTTTGAAGGAACCATCTACCTCTAGTTCATAATAGCAGCCAAAGCTGCATGTGCAGAAGCCTTTGGAGGATTTAAATACCCGGGCTTCAAAAGGTCTGAGAAAAACTGAAACGTGGGTGTATGTTTGTGTGTCTATGTGTGGACACGGGGTGGGGGCAGGTGCCTCAGGTATTCTCCCCCACCAGTATAAACACAGTTCACTAATATATGCATTATTAGTTCTTTAAAATATAAAGAATCTTTTTTATCATTGTGTAGGCCAAGCATTTTTGCATCATGGAATCTGCATTAGCATGAGGGATACTAAATAGCTTGTTCTTCCAAGGAATTTTCTTTTGCTTGATTTTATTTTTCTTCATGTTTTAAAGCAGACTCTTTGAAAGGTGCATATGAACCTGGTTTCCATAGTAATTGCAAACGTCAGTTATAACCCAGAGCTTCTAAGTTATAATATACAGGTTACCCTGTTAATGAGTTTCAAACTGCATTTCCATGAGACAAGTGCTCAGCCACTGATAGAAAAGGTCAGACCCCATCTTTAAATTAAATCAGGGTAGATCAAAATGCAACAGAGGGAGGAGTGTCCTTTTTGGAAATTGTGCTGTTAAAAAATATGTTCTTCATGGAGCAAAACAGTTGCTTTTGAGGTTTGTAATGTTCAGGTGGAAAAATTCTAAAACAGATACAGCTTCTTCTGAGTTAGTAATGACATTTTCTCCTGGGATTTGTGGGTGAGTTTTTCCAATCATAGCTCAGATCCCTAGAAATCTTTTGCCCCAAGAAGAACAGGTGTGTTAGCTAATTCTGGCTAGGGCTGAAATAAGAAAAATTCAAAGATAATTTATCAAATTACTTATTCATGAACTGAGTACCAAGACTCTGGGCTTGCCTTTAAGAAGCTCCCAATTCACTGGAGGGCTCAGCCTTATGCTCAGCACATTTCCACTAATACAAGAAGGCTTTACAGGAGTGTTTGAGGGACATGCCTAAGGTCTTGAAGGGTTTTCCTATGTCATTGATTTCGAGGATATCACCTAGAGGAGAAATAGAATTTAACCAAGTGAAAACAGGTAAACGTGGAAAAATTGGAATCTCAGATGTAGCTAAGTGGCAATGTGGCTCTTTCAGAGACTGCGAGATGTTGTATCAGAAAGAATGAATTGGATTATAGAAGTACAAAAAACTATGAAAACATCCACATACCACAAAAAGGCACAAGAAGTCATTGGTATTTTTGAGCAGGATAGTGACCTAATCAGACTCACAGTTTTGAGATTCCATAGTAGCTGAGAATAGGATCTTGAACAAACAGCATAGGAATGACTAAGCTAAACAAGTACATGAAGTAATGTGGCTGAGGTGCTCCACAGGAAGAAACTCCTAGCATGCCGGGCCCTAGGTCTGGCCTATGGGCAGGAGTGCCCACCCTGAGACTGGGCTGCCCAACTTTTGGGGCATGATTTGAAACATTGTCAGTTCCCCATGGAATGTTTTTCTTTGAAAATTATAATAAATTTTCTTGTGGTTATTTTGAAGAAATCCTAATCTACATGGTGTGTTCTCTAATAAGAACTTATGGGTTAAAAAAATAGTTGGACATAGGAGCACAAGCGTGAGACACGGATTGCAGGAAGCTATTGATTGTAATGTTAAAGTCATCCTTTGCATTCATGATTAAGTCACATCTCGCTCTACAGCAGTGCCAGGCACAGAGTGGTCCCAAAAATACCTGTACCAGCATCATCCAGAAGTTGGCTAGAAATCCAGACTGTCTAACTCAGCTTCTCTAGGACTGATGCCCAGCAATCTAAACATTAACATACTTCTTTGGGAGTCTTCTAGGTGGTCTGGTTGACAGAATCACTTCTCTACAGTGCAAAATTATCAGTTTGGCAAGTTCAGCTTTCTATGGGACAGACCTCATGGCTCCTCCATGCAAGTGTATACGTGTGTGTGTGTGCATGCACATGCATGCACACATGTATGAGTGTGTAAAGTTTTACAAAAATACATTGAATTGAGTTTTAAGACTGTGTATATATTTGCTAAATCACTTGCACAAGCATGCTACCAGATTGAGATCACAGCTACCCTCAATCTGCCCCTACTTTTCCCTGGGAAACTATCACTCTAGTCCTTCCTCCCCATTCCCGACAATGCTATCCCTGCAATGGTGTAGTGGGCATTCCTACAGCCACCACAGAGTCCTAGAACTTCTCCAAATATCCAGCTTTGCTAGAGCAATTATTTCGGGCTATAATATACTGGTATGTATATTTTGTATACATACACATATAAAACAAGAAGTATGTCTTCCTGTCTTCATTATGTCATTCCTCATTGGTTGAACCTACCCCAAACTCCTAAGTCACAACAATTGACACCTGCAGTAAACTATTTGAAGTCAAAAAGATTTGAAGACGTGTTTATTGTTTTATTTAAAGAAAAAAGAAAGAAAAACAAGATAAAACAGACAAAGGGATAGAAGTAATACAGAATTTCAAAGAAAAATATTAACACTAAGAAATTACTAGTTGATAAGTTACATATTTTCCTCTTAGAAATACTTGTTCAAGTTACAGAATCAAAGCATAAAAAGTGGACACTAAAATACTGACAGGGCAAACCATTCTGTTTAATGATTTAAGGGAAACTTAGTAATATGGTCATTATCCTATTCATTTGAATGTCCATATAGTTATATCCTTTAGAACACTTTTCTGAATGTGTGCTTATTAATACAAAGATTGGAGTCTGAATCCAGATTCTGTCATATGTTATCTGAGTCACCTGTGGCAAATTACATTACCTGTTTGAGCCAGTCTCCTCACAACCAAATGAGGATAACAGTAACTTATCTTTCATATATATTTCTTGGAATTATTAAATGAAAAGATATTAGTAAACACATGGTTTCTAGTAAATATCCAGTGAATCATGGCTATTATTATTCCTCTCATCTGCACACTTT